AAAAAAAAAAAAAAAAAAATTTCAGCCCACTACAGGTTAGTGGCCTGAGGATGTTGCGCCTAATAGCCCCATTTCCATTTCTGGTTTCAGGTTTATGAAACAGACTGTGAAGTTCATCAAGAGCAGTCAACTAGAAAACCAAGGCTGGCCGACTCTTCGTCCAGTACACAGGAGCCAGGCAGAGTCCAGGGATTCTTGCAACATCTATCTTCCCTTCGGAGGACACTAAGTTTTATTTGAAGACAGAGAGTTCACTATGGCATCCGGACTGAAGGGACACAGAGGAGCTGTTACTGTGATTTGGTGACAGTTCTTCAAACCGCAGTGTCTTGAGGAAGGGTGGATCAAGAACCTCCTGAACTTTGGGTTGCATTAAGTGAGAAATCAGCATGGCTCAGGTAAAAAAACTCTAGTGTCCTCCTCCTCCTGGGAAGCGTGTTTGCAATCTCACCCTTGAATGCTGCCTTAGTCAACATGCTGACCAGCCCAGTGAGCCAAGCTCTGTATTAAGCACCAGGGGGAGATCTAGAGGAAGGAAAGGAGACAGGCCACAGCCCCTGCCTTCAGGGAGCTTCCAGTCAAGTGAAGGAGGTAGGCTATGCTGCATCGCAGGCCCTGTGGACACTGCCAAGCAACGAGTGCCCAGCTTACCTTAAGCTGGGTGCATTAAGGACCTATGGGCAGGAGGGAGTGGACAGTCCGCTGAATGCTTCATTTGTTTTTTCTTTCAACAGGAATTTATTGAGCTCCTGTTACATGCAAGGCATTGTGCTGGGGATACAAAGATGAATATGGTTTTCCCTGTCCCCAGCAAGCTTCCAGGCCGCGTAGGGGGGTGGGAGAGCAGGCGTGACGGTGACTGACTGGTAGTAGAGACTCAGTCAGTCTGTTGATTGAAGGACTGTACAGTAATGGAGAAGTGTGCAGGGCTATTCCTTTGCCTGGATGGAAAAAGATGAAGCTGGAAGGGGGCATATTTTGTTTGCTACCTGTGAATCAGCAGAACAGGACATTGAGACGAGAGCATCTTGGGCAGAGGCTTAGAGGCAGGGAGAATGTGATGAGGTTGGAAGTGCCGCAGGGAGCAAAGGGTTTAAGCAGTTGTGGTGAGTGGGATAGGAAGTAAAGAATGGGGAAGTTCGGGTGAGTGAATTGTTTCCTGGAGAAGTAAGCAGAGTGTAACCCTTACTAAGGAATTAGGCTTTGTTCTATAGGATGAAGCCTGTGGACAGGGTCCGGCAGCAGAGTGTACTTCGAAGGCGACTGTCACTGTGGGGCAACAGGATGTGTTAGCGAGGCAGGATGACCAGCTGGGCTGGCATGGTCATCTGGGAGGAAAAGCTGTGTTTAGCATCCCCGAGTTTTCCCAACTTTCCTCCAGGGCCGTCCCGTGCCAGTCTCACCAGGACAGCAGCTCGATTAGAGTGTGATTGACTTTCTTCCAGCTGCAGGTGTAGCTTCCTTTCTGAGCAGAGTGGGCGCCCTCCAGAGCCACCCACTGCAGCCTCGGGGTGCCTCCTGGGAGACCCCTGCGTGTCCCCCTTGCCTAGCAGGCTCTAGCTTCACACCTCACAGTAACTCCCAGGAGCCCTGTATCTAGATGAGCATCTTGCACTTGCAGGGGCTGAGAACGAAGTGTCCTCCCTCCAGGCCCTTCACTCCAGAGTCCCTGAAGGGCCAGCAGAGTTCCCAGGATATACTGGTCATCTCAAAGGAATTTCTTTTTAAATCACTGCTGGAAGTTTGCTGACCCAGCTATTTCTGAAGTGTTTCTTCAGTGAGAAAAGTCTGTGGCTGGCTGTGCAAAGGCAGTTTGGGGGCTGGACAGTCAGTTTAAGGGCTGTGGCAGTGAAGAGAGGAAAGTTGCCGAAACGCTGCTCGTTGCGGCAAGTGGAGCGTTCTGTAGCGCCTGGCGTGCGAAGCCGCCAGGAGGTGCACGCAGGCCAGTGCGGCAGAGGGCGGGCGGTGTACGCTCAACTCCGAATGCAGGTGTTTCGCTCCCTGTTCCAGGTGACACCTGGGAGCATAAAGTTAAAGGGAAAATGAACTGATTTCATCGAAGAGCGTGTCTGTGGGGCCTGATGGAATAGAGTCAGCCCAGGCCTGCCATTCGGGCCTGAGTGCTGCTCTGGGAGCAAGGCCCTGGACAGCTCCGTTTCCAGGGGTCAGCAGGACAGGCCTCAGCCTGCTGTGGGACTGGCGCACCGCCACGGGCCCCCAGGGCGCCCACAGACCACTTCTGGCGCAGTGCCAAGGACACAGGTGTCACTGGCCGCTGCCCTGGTGTGCGTCTAGATGCTGAGCAGGGACTACTGAGAGTTCGCGGGGAGGTGACTTAGGGAGGGCGCCTGAAGAAAGCGGGCTTTCTCAGTGAGGAGGGAGCCCCTGAGAGAGGCAGTGCTTTAGCTGGGTGCAAGGCCAGTTCTGTGGAGGATGGCAGTTGTTTTTGTCCTGCCCTGCTAGGTGACCTGACACCTCGTCTCCTTTCAACTTAGGCAAGTCTCCTGGCTTGTGAAGGCCTAGCAGGTGTGAGTTTGGTCCCCACTGCAGCCAGCAAGAAGATGATGCTGAGCCAGATTGCCAGCAAGCAGGCCGAGAATGGAGAGCGGGCAGGTAGCCCTGATGTGCTGAGGTGCTCAAGTCAGGTACGGCGCTCGAGTCTGCTGTGGCGCCTGGGGTCGGGCAGCCCAGGCTCTGCCAGGAGACGCCAAGCTTTGGCTCCTCGGCGCTTCTGTTTAGGGAAGTGGGGAAAGGGGCCCAGCGTGGGCATTTAACGAGCTGAGGAAAGTCTGTCCTGTGCCCCCGAGCCCTTGAGACCAGGGTGCCCGCACGGAAGTGGAGGCGCACGGCGCTAGAGCAGGCGTTCCCTGCTCGCTGCCCAGAGCAGTTTTGGTCTCCCGGCCACTCTCTGAGATGGACTGTGACTTCGGGTCTGGTTTGCATTCAAAGGGCCACCGAAAAGACAGCGATAAGTCCCGGAGCCGGAAAGACGATGACAGCTTGGCCGAGGCCTCGCACTCCAAAAAGACTGTTAAAAAGGCAGGTAATGGGGTACTCGAGCCCCAAACTTGTGAAGCTTGGGAATGGGGCAGTCCTCCTCTTTCTCCCTCTGTCTCTCACCCTGGAGCTTCGCCTAGTTGTTCTGGTCCTTTCACGGCTGGTGACGTCACCCAGAGACCGCTCGGGTGGTAGCGCTCTGCCATCACTGGCGTAGCCTTGGTAAAGGGAGAGTCGGCGGCCTGGGAGCGCCGTTCCTCTGGCACCAGGCAGGCAATTGCCCTCACTCAGAGCGCTGGGCCTGGCGAGTGGGAGCTCACCCACACCGCCCCTCCCCAGGGTCGCGTCACTGCGGGGTGTGGGCAGTGACTGCATCACGGAGTTGCTTGGCCCTCAGCTGGAAGTAGGCCCAGCGCGGAGAGGAGGCCGGGCCGGGCGGGCAGAGCGCTGCTTCACTGTCTGCTTGTTGCCCCCAGGTGGTGGTGGTGGAACAGAATGGTTCTTTCCAAGTAAAGATTCCCAAAAATTTTATTTGTGAGCACTGCTTCGGAGCCTTCAGGAGCAGTTACCACCTCAAGAGGCACATCCTCATTCATACTGGTAAGTCTCTTGCTCGTCCTCAGAAGGGGGAGCCAGTCGGGGTTGGGGTGAGCGAGGGGGTGTGTGTGGCCCCTGGGGTCGATCGTAGAGGCGGATTCTGGAGGAGGAGGGTACGTGAACGGGGCGACGTGGCCCGTGTCTGTCGCCGGGACCGCTGGCTGCGGAAACTTCCCAGACTTCGACGGGGCTACAAGGTTGCGTTTCTGGGGAACACCGGGGTGAGCTCCCTGCCACGTCTGCCTCTGACACGCTTCTCTCCCCGCCGGGCCCAGGCGAGAAGCCCTTTGAGTGTGATATCTGTGATATGCGCTTCATCCAGAAGTACCACTTGGAGCGCCACAAGCGTGTGCACAGCGGCGAAAAGCCTTACCAGTGTGAGCGATGCCACCAGGTGAGCCGCGCGCCCATCTCCCTGCCCCCGGGGGCCCAGGAACCCCCGACCATGAGTGAGGCGCCTCTGGCCTTTGCAGCTGTTCGTGAGAATTACGATTGCGAGGGTGGCCGATGGTGGTAGTGACGATAGCGTTTCTCGTGCTCCGCCAGGCACGGTGAGAGCGCACTCGATGCCGCCCGTCCCTGCAGTCCTCTCACTGCATACAGGAGCCCTGTTACCCCCACAGCCGAGGAGGTCGAGGTTCAGAGGACCCCGGTTCTCAAGGACACGGGAGCAAGGGCAGGGACTAGATGCAAGTGCGCTCTCCCGGCTGCTGTGGTTTGGAGGAAGAGATGGGACCCGCGCCGTGGGGGTGGTTAGATGCAGGCGAGCCGGGACCGAGCAAGCCCAGAGTGCGAGATGAGTGATAGAGCTGACGCTTCGGGGCTCGGCTGGGTCTCAAGCTTTGTTCCGTCTTCTCTCGCTGAATCTTGTTAAGCGCTCGCGTGAGCTTCGCGGGGCAGAAACGGTCCTCTGGTTCTCTCCTCTGCGCTCAGTCTGGAAACAGCTGGTGTTTGCTGAGTAAAGCAGCCACTGTGCAGGCATCTGGCCCCATTCTGCAGGCGACCGTGCGGGTCTAGAGCGGTCAGGCAGCTGGCGCCGGCCACAGGCGGCCGGCGGCATGTCCCTGGCTCAGCCCGGGTCTCGCGCCCTGTGTCCTCGCCACGTGCCCGGAGTGGGCGCGTGCTCCCCGCGAGGAAGACGCGCTAGGCCGAAGCTCGCGGGGTCTCGCCTGCCACTTAACCCTCCCTCTCTTCTCAGTGTTTTTCTCGGACAGATCGATTACTCAGACACAAACGGATGTGCCAAGGGTGTCAGTCCAAGACTTCCGACGGGCAGTTTTCTCTATAGGCGCGAGGGCCCCTGGTGGTGGGAGTGAGAAGAACCTACCGAAGAGTGCACCCCTCTGGTCTGATGGTCCCACCACCACCCTGTCTGTACCTGTCCCCCTCCTGGAGGAGTGGACCCAGGAGACCAGAAGCGTGCATCAAGGGACAGCGGCCCCAGAGCCTCGGCTCTGTAAATAATCTGAGACTTTGAGATCTCGGGGAAGCTCCTCAGCCTTCCCGGGTAGGGAAGCTAGTCCCTGGACCGTGGCTGAGGTCAGAGACGGAGACTCCAGGTATAGGACCAAGACGGAACTGTGCTCCCGCACCTGGGACTCTAGCTGGCAGCTGAAACGGAAGCGACTGGGAGAGGGGTTTACTTGTTCTGTTCTTGTTTTGTTTATCCAGAAGCAGTTTCAGTAGGCGTCCTGTGGACACAGGTAATCTAGAGGCTTAAAGTCCGGGGTAAAGCAGGGATTGAGGGCGCTGGTCCAGTCCTACCCCAAAATGGAATTTTTGGGTACAGTTGTTCCTCAGTGTTCCACCAGCCTGCACTTCAGCTCCTAGTTGGAGGAGGTGGGACCAGCGAAGGCAGCTGAGATTTCTGCCTCCTTCACAGGGTAGGGTCAGAAGAACAGGGAGGAGCGGCAGGGCTAGAGCCGGCGAGTGACAGGTGCCTCCTGCGTCCCGCAGGGAAGGGCAGGAGTCGTGTGCTTGGGTGAGACCGCGGCTCACGTCACACCGGTACCTGATGGGGTCAGCTCAGTGCCTTCTGGAGGAAGCTGGGCAACAGAGCCCGGAAAACCCTTTCCTCCTCTCTTTAGGCAGGTGATCCTGGAGCTAGTTCGTGGCTACCTCGTTGCCATTGACTCCTGAGCCAGACAGAGGTCGAGCAGGAGTCGTGGATGTCACAGCGGGCCGTCGCTCCTGGCGCCCACAGCTGGAACAAGAGTGCAGGAAGCGAGGGAGTGTGGGTCCGCTGACATGGCTGCTGGGCGGGGGCTGTTCGTCCTGCCCGAGTCTAGCACTGTCCTCGCGTAGAGGAAACGGGGCCTGGCCCTCGGTCCCAGAGAGCGAGGTCTCGGCTTCCTTCTCGCCGGCCGCCCTCAGCCAGCAGAGACGTAGGGCCGGGAGGGCGCCGCCGAGCGAGCGCTGGGGAGGCCTAATGCGGGTTTCACGCTCGGCCAGGTTCTTCGCTCCTCTCTGCCACCACCCCACCCCCAAAACAGTGACGGGGGAGGGGTGTGTTCACGAATGTTCTTGTTTGTATGCTCAAAGGTGGCATATGATTGAGCCAAACCCTCTTGGCCCTCAGCTCAGGGAAGGATGAACGTGACACGGCCTCCCTGCCTCCCACACCGGAAGGGTTGGAAGTCTCAGCGGGAGCTGAAGAACTCAAATGAGGGGACTGGAGGGCTTTGTTTTGGAGGGTTGCTTTGTGGGGTTTTTTTTGGATTTTTTTTAGAATGACGCAACATGCTGGTGGTTAGGGTGTTTCTGACCCAAGCCAGGTCTAATGAATGAATTTTCTAAGGCAAAATTGAAAGCCCTCTTTCTGCTAAGGAAAGGATCCTTGTGAGGCGCTCCCACTGTGGTGAGGGGAACTTGCTTAGGAATAATCATGGGGGGCTGGGTGAGCTGGCCAGGCTGTCAGTGAGTGTCTGCAGGGGCACCCCCTGGAGGTGCGCTCCAGTCCCCAGGAAGTGCCCGGAGCGGAGAGGCAGCAGCGGCGGTCTCCCGCCGGTTCCCTGTTCCAGAGGAGCTCACCTGGTGGCGTGGGGGTCCTTCACGCTCTAAGGCATGAGGAGTTCGAGGGAAAAGAAAGGAGTCAGGGCATGCTGACAGCATCTGAGATCCTTTTGGGGAGACGCTGGGGAATGTGTTGGCACCGTTTGTTTTTCCGGCTTTGTGCGGGCACCCCTGTTTGATAGGGTCCAGAACTGATCCCTCAGCCCTTGAATCTGTCCTGTGGCCCTGCAAGCAGGGCGCGTTTCCTCACGTGAACCAGCCCCTTCCTGGTAGGCGGCGCTGAGGCTGAAGCATGTCGCTCAGTCTGGGAAGGAGGTTGCGTCCAGGAAACTGTCCTCTCAGAGCTTGGGGAAGTGGGAGGCCCTTCCCCTGCTCCTTGCAGCTGACGCGGGTTATTGGGGCGTGGAGGCCTGTAGAGGGTGTCGCACAAGTGACCCGCGCCCCTCAGTGTGTGCACGTACGGTAGTCAGGCTGCACCCTGCCCCCCCACCCGCCCCGCTTCCTGCCTGGGGGTGAGCTGGGGACACCCCTGCGCGTGCGTGCACAGGGTGCTGACAGCGAGGACTGGGTGTGGCGGGAGCTCAGGAGCAGGTGGGCAGTTTGGTTGCCTGGGTGCTGGTGTCCGGGGCACTGGGTGCGTGTGAAGGAGGGGGTGACCCAGTGCCCGGCAGACCCACCGCGCTCCAGGGAAACCGCATGCGGAGACTGCTGAGGGGCGGGACCCACGGCCCTGCCTCTGCTGGGGTGGGCCTAGCACTGGAGAGAGGCCTGCGCGTGTTGTGGGGCGGGGGGGG